AACGTGCATCTAATTGACACGACGTTGCATTCATCAACAGCTGCGCTTTTTGCAAACTGGCTATGACAGTCCTGAGCAAGAAGGGTTTCCTGTTTAAGCTGCAGTCACTTTTCTACTTACGGATCATCGCTCCTGATGGGAACAAGCTTTGAGGAAATTTTGTTTAAAAAGAGTAGCTAAGCGTAGTGACTGACCATCTACGTTTATTTTGCCTTCCTAAATTACACTGGAAGCAAAGGAATGAAAGAAATGTAAAATAATATAGTTGATAAATAGGATAAATGATGTAAAACCACAAGAGCAAGGAGAGACAGGAGACAAGGGAAGACCAGAGAGTTGGCAAGCTTGTACACAGAGAGAATTAAGCTCAGCTGCTTGGGACTTGCAGGCCCCACCCCGGTGTCGCGTAGAAGGAGGAGAGGTGCTTCGGGGAAGGCTGAAAGCAGGTGTAGGAAGCGGACCTCCAGGTGCCCTCTCCTACCTTCACCTCCCCTAGCAGGTAACCACCTCCCATCCTGGAGACTGGGAAGAAGAGCCCAGTGGACCAGAGAAACAGGTGAAAGTCTGCAATCTAATTAAAGGGGTCTCCAGACCACTAAGTTGTCTAAGGAGGGGTGAACTGTCCGAGCTAGGAAACGAGGAGGTCCAAACTCCTGTGCTGATCAGTCCTGGGAAATGCCCATGTACAGCCACTGCACTCCAGCCTGACACGTGCTACCACACAGATGAACCCTGAGGGCACTATTGCTAAGTAAAATCAACACTGTCGTATTAGTCTGTCCTCACACAGAACAGACTGGGTATAAATACATACCTGAGACTAGGTAATTTATAAACGAAAGAGGTTTAATTGCCCCACAGTTCCACATGGCTGTGGAGGCCTCCCAGTCATGGCGTAAGGCAAGGGAGCTTGTGCAGGGGAATGCCCACTTATAAAACCATCAGATCTAATGAGATTTATTCCCTACCACAAGAACAGTATGGGGGAGACTCCACCCATGATTCAGTTATCTCCACCTGGCCCCCCTTGACAGGTGGGAATTATTCTAATTCAAGGTGAGATTTGGGTAGGAATACAGCAAAGCCATATCAACGAAAAAGGTAAATACTGTATGTTTCTACTTGTATGTGGTATGCAGAGTAGTCAAATTCACAGAGAAAGAAAGTCAAATAGTGGTTGGCAGGGGCTGGGGGTTTGTTTGAGGGAGGAAGGATGAAGATGGGGAGTTCTTGTTTAATAGGTGTGGAGTTTCAGTTTCGGAAGGTGAAAAATTCTGGGAGGGATGGTGGTGGAGGCTGTGCCACCATGCGAACGTGCTTAATATCCTGAACAATGCACTTGAAAATGGGCACAATGATAAACCGTATGTGTATTTTACCATATTTTTTAAAAAGATTAATAGGAAATAAAAACTCTCTTAAGAATAATATTTTTTCAAGTTAGCAGAATTAAAGGGAGGGACATCTCTGTCTGCTGTAGTGTTATCTTTGTCTTAGAGAGCCTTCCTCAATCACCCAAACAAAATGTGTTGACCCCTTATCTTGATTTTTTCTCCTTAGCACTTAACCTAATCACTTATTTTATTTTTTTTTTTTTTGGGACTGAGTTTCGCTCTTGTTACCCAGGCTGGAGTGCAATGGCGCGATCTCGGCTCACCGCAACCTCCGCCTCCTGGGTTCAGGCAATTCTCCTGCCTCAGCCTCCTGAGTAGCTGGGATTACAGGCACGCGCCACCATGCCCAGCTAATTTTTTGTATTTTTAGTAGAGACGGGGTTTCACCGTGTTGACCAGGATGGTCTCGATCTCTTGACCTCGTGATCCACCCGCCTCGGCCTCCCAAAGTGCTGGGATTACAGGCTTGAGCCACCGCGCCCGGCCACTTATTTTATTATTATTATTATTTGAGATGGAGTCTCACTCTGTCACCCAGACCAGAGTGCAGTGGCGTGATCTCGGCTCACTGAAGCCTCCGCCTCCCAGGTCCAAGCGACTCTCCTGCCTCAGCCTCCCAAGTAGCTGGGATCACAGGCATGCACCACCATGCCTGGCTAATTCTTGTATTTTTAGTAGAGACGGGATTTCACTATGTTGACCAGGCTGGTCTCAAACTCCTGACCTCAAGTGATCCACCCACCTCAGCCTCCCAAAGTACTGGGATTGCAGGCATGAGCCACCATGCCCCGCCCATCTAACCCAGTATCGATCTGTCCACCCTGTCTCTCTCCTGCTGGCAGATGAGCCTGTAAGAAGAGGAATGTTTTCTGTGTCACTCGCTGCTCTCCTCCCCACACCGGGAACCCTGCCAGACCAGAGAGGCACACAGCAAATACTTGTGGGAGAGAAGGGAGAAGGAAAGCCAGAGACATCTTCCGAAAGGAGAACAAAAATATAAGGATTTTGAAAATAGGAGAGAAAAGATAAGAGAACTAGGGGGTCAGTTTAGAATATCCAACCTCTGAGTTACAAGGAATCGAGGAGAGCAAGAAAAACCATGCAGAGGAATTCCCAAAAACCTAACAGTGGGAAATTTCTCAGAGCTGAGAGAAAGTGCTCTCCAAACTGAAGGCCTCTGAAGGAAAGAGGAAATTCCCACTAAAGGCACATACACCATGGATAAACAAAAGATCTTAAAGAGGATTTTTCCTAAAAAGGAAAACAGGTCACAAAAGACCAGGCACTGGAATAGCATTGGACTTCTCAGCACCGATAAGAAGCGTTGGAGCTAGAAGACGAAGCTATGCCACCAAAACTCGGAGGGAAAGTGTCTTCCCACCCAGCCAAACTTTCAAATACAGTAGATCGACACAGAGTAGGGACCTGCTTTTTAGGGGCCTGTGAGCCCCCAAGACATGGAAATAAAGAAAATTCTTGAGTTCCTTCAAGGGAAATTTGAGGCACGCAGATAGCTCTGAGAATTAAGTAAGCAACTGGATGAGCAAGAAGGTAACAGCCTAAGCCAGTAGCCAGAAGTTAGTCATGAGATGTTTGAGTCCCTGTAGAAACTAAGATAACATCTTGACATGTGTCTGAGTTTTTTAGAAACCCAGACCCCCACCAAACAAATCACTGGCACCGTATATCAGATAAGGGAACTGGGGACTGAAGTCTGACCTTCATTCTTTGTTCTAAGTTTCTTCCTGAGGGGCCTGGAGCCTGAAATAACATTCTTTTCTGCTGACCCCAAAGTTGGAAACAAAGCTTCTCTGCCTTAACCAATTGTAAATCAGAACATCTTTGAATCTACCTGTAAGCCCCACCCCTCCTTCACAATATCCCACCCTTTTAGGCCAAAACCAACGTGTCATCTCCATGTATTGATTCATGATTTTGCCGGTAGCTTCCACTTTCCTGAAATGTGCCCCTTCCTCTAAAAACCGTTATCCACAGCCATGGGGGTTGGGGGGATGGTGGTCAGGATTTGAGCATTCACTTCCTGGTCCTCCCTGCATGGTGTCCTACAAATAAATGACTACCTTTCTATTGCTGCAAAGCCTCAGTGTGGCTATCTGGTCTTACTGTGCTGAGCAGGCAGACCCAAATTGTGTAACAATATGGTTTTTTTTTTTTTTTTATTGCATTTTAGGTTTTGGGTTTAAGGAAACCTTTTCCAACAAGCTGGTCTCAAAAAGCAAACCTCCCATGCATCTTCTTTAGGAAGCTTTTGCAGGATGTGCTCCAGCAGAGCAAAGGAATAAAGCAAAAACGAAGACACGGCACACAGGAACAGAAAATTCAACACAGGAAGAGCAGGATGACAGACATCAGAAGGCAGCTCGAGGGTGGAGGATTCCAGGAGGGGGCTTGGCAAGGGGCAAAGGCGACTATGAGTTATCCAATGCTTCTGTTCAAAAACTTTATTGAGAGGGATTTGACAGATGCCTGTGCACTATAAAAAAATTCAATACAAAAGAATCAGATAGAAAATAAACCACTAAAAAAAGACAATTGTTAATAAAGGGAGATAAAAATTAAAGGAGTACAGCATATGCTTATATACATATATATTTATTTCACTAACATATATAGTCATGATAATAAAGACTATTGTGCTAATTGTATAGGGAACAAAGAAGGATAGATTAATGATTATATGACAGCATTCTTTTTTTTTTTTTTTTTTGAGACGGAGTTTCACTCTTGTTGCATAGGTTGGAGTGCAGTGGCACGATCTTGGATCACCACTACCTCTGCCTCCTGGGTTCAAGCTATTCTGCCTCAGTCTTCCAAGTAGCTGGGATTACAGGCATGCACCACCATGCCTGGCTAATTTTGTATTTTTAGTAGAGACAGGGTTTATTCATGTTGGTCAGGCTGGTCTTGAACTCCTGACCTCAGGTGATCCGCCTGCCTCAGCCTCCCAAAGTGCTGGGATTCCAGGTGTGAGCCACCGTGCCTGGCCAAGAGTATTCTTAACTATCAAAATAGCAGAGATTAGATAATATCTGATTGATTAGCAAAGAAATAGCAATATAAGCACATTAAGAAATATTGGTTAGGTGCAGTGGCTCACGCCTGTAATCCCAATATTTTGGGAAGCCCAAGTGGGTGGATCTCTTGAGCCCAGGAGTTTGAGGCAAGCCTGGCAACATAGTGAGACCTCAACTCTACTAAAAATATAAAAAATTAATTGAGTAGTGGCCACGTGTGGTAGTCCCAGCTACTTGAATCACGTGAGTGTGGGAAGTCGAGGCTTCCGTGAGTCGTGACTGCGCCACTGCACTCCAGCAGAGGCAACAGAGTGAGACCCTGTCTCAAAAAGAAACAACAAAAAACAAAAGAGAAAGAAGAAGGAAGAGAAGAGGAGGGGAGGAGAGGGGAGGGGAGAGGAGGGAGGGGGGAGGGGAGGGGAGAGGAGGAAAGGAGAGAAAAATAAAATATGGAGGGAAACAGAAGAAACAGCTTAAGAAATGGAGATTGGTTGCCTATAGAGAGCAGGACCCACGGATCAAAAGGTAAAAGGCAGGAGAGTGCTGTTTTTCATGATTACTGTAGTTTTTAAAGGATTGTTTGACTAATTATATGCATGCATTGTTTTATTAAAAGCGAGGTTAAAAGCTCAAATGAATGGGATGCTAGGAGCTTGTACCCTATTTGACCACGTTGCTGTCAAGCACAGGGAACAAAAGGACAAACTGTGACCAAGGAAAGGCTGGGTGTGGGGGGCAGACAAAGGAAGGTGGGGGCAGCGGCAAGGGCTGTCAGAGGGACACTGCCAGGAAGTGGGTGGCCCTGAGTATGTGTAGAAATATCCGACCCCTCCAGGGCTGTGGCAGGTCAGACGGAAGTGCAGGGAAAGACCAGCAGCCCACGGGACTCACTTGTAAAGCACTTGTTTATTTACTGCTGTCTGGAATTTCACAGAGTGAAGTCCCGAGGGACCTCTGGCCTGGCCACCCAGCCACCCGGCTGCACAACACAAGGGGCCCAGGAGGCTTTTCCTGGCAACATCTGCACTCGCTGTCCATGTGTCTGACCTCAGAGGTGGGAACCTCTGCTTCCTTCACATACTTGATGGTGGATGGCCAGGGGTAACTTCCATAATCCCTGGCCTCCCTAGTTCTTTCAGCAGGAAACTGAAGCTCAAATTCAGTTCTTCTTCTCAGGGCCGCAGGGCGCACACTCTGGATGCGCGGTCGGAGCCGCACTAAGTGGCTGCACCCACTGAGCCGGGCCTCCAAAGTGTGCTACAATATGGATTTGATCACAGCTCTAATTCCAACAGGGAGTGACCTTGGACAAGTGACCTGACCCCTCCCAGTCTCTGTGTCATCATCTGAAAGGAAGAAATAATATCCCACATTTGCGGGTCTTTGGTGACGAGCAAATCATGGATCTAAATGTTCAATAATTGTCTGCTCATACCAAGTAAGTATTCACCATGAAATCCAGGCAGCCAGGAGTATTCGTCTCCTTGTGCCACTGTAACAAATGGCAAGCTTAATGGCTTAAAACAATGCCAATTTTTAATCTGATAGGGCAGGAGGTCAGAAGTCTAAACTGACTTTCACTGGGCTAAAATGATGGCCTGTGTTCCTTCTGGAGACTCCAGGGGAGAATCTGTTTCCTTGACTTTTCCAGCTCTAGAGACTGCCTGCGATTCTCGGCCTGTGGCCCCTTCTGCCCTCTTCAGAGGGCAACCTCTTCACTCCAACCTCTGCTTCTCTCCTGCCCGGGACACCTGTGAGTACCCTAGGCCCACTCACGTGAGCCAAGACAACCTTCCTATCTCAAGATCCTGAACTTAAACACAACTGAAACCTTCCCCAGGTAACATATTCACACCCTCTGGGGACTAGGACATGGACATCCCACCACGCTTTTTACAAAATCCACCTGAACTAAAGGAACTTAGGTGGAACTGACACTACCCCTTGCTCTCTGCTCTCCCAAGAATCATTTTAAGGAGACTTTACTAAGGAATCATGGGCAAAGTTAAAAAAACAATTTAAAGGCCAAGCAAGGTGGCTCACACCTGTAATCCCAGCACTTTGGGAGGCCGAGACGGGCGGATCATGAGGTCAGGAGTTTGATACCAGCCTGGCCAACATGGTGAAACCCTGTCTCTACTAAAAATACAAAAAAATTAGTCAGGTGTGGTGGCAGGCACCTGTAATCCCAGCTACTCGGGAGGCTGAGGCAGGAGAATCACTTGAACCTGGGAGGTAGAGGTTGCAGTGAGCTGAGACCATGTCACTGCACTCCAGCCTGGGCAACAGAGCAAGACTCTGTCTCAAAAACAAACAAAAAACAATTTAAAAAGCCAGAAGAATAGGAAGTTTGCTGCTAGCTTCCCAGGATGACTATTTACTTGTAAATGTACTGAACAACTCTGAGGTTCTCCTTGAGATTTGAAATACTTTGATACCTTTGTCAGACTCTGACAGCACCTAACAACCCCAAGTTCAAGGCAAGAGGTGAGGGTTATCTGACACCCATCTGAGGTCTCAGCCTCTGCCCACCCTGGGTCTAGAGCCAGAAGAAGTCCCCAAAGCCTCAGGCTCAGCATGGCCTCTCCAGGAAGTTTGCTTCATCCGGGGTGGTGATGATCAAAGCTAATAGCTTGCTCAGGACTACTGAAGACACATCAGTAATCTGGAAATACTTTCCACATTTGCTCATCAAATTTCCTAGGAACCGGGGAATATTTTTACCTCCTTTTTCTGGCAAAATGAATCCCTGTGAAAATGGCTGAGGTACAGTAGAACCCAGTGTCATAATCCTTGCTACTGATAAACTGGAATTAACTCAAGGTTAAACTGCATTCTTTGAAGCGTAAATCAGCACAATAACTGCCTAAACTATTAGTTCAGAAAAGGCTCTCTGCTGTCTTATGAAATAGAGGCAGTATTTAAAAAAATAAAACTTGGTGGCAGTAAGTCAAACTACAATCGTAGGGAAGATGCTTTACAGGGAATTCTTTCTGGCTGAAGGCCTGCCGTCCCCTAGGGCTGCTGAGCCGTCCACTGAGAATCATCACAAGGATTCGATCTTGTCCTTTGCCTTCAATGATGAGTCTACATGCTCCAGGACAACCAAACATGAACGATGTTCTGCTCATCAGCATGGCCTTCTCTCTACTCCCTTAAGCCCTCCAAACGGTGGTGGATACTATGGAGCGGCACAAAGTCCAGGTGTCACCCAACGTGAACTGTCAAGGTCAATTTGCAGGGAGAGCTCATTACGATCCATGTTCTCGGCAGGGTGCTGTCATCTAAGCTTGCGACACACCTGAGCTCGGTGGCATCTGCTATTTGCTCTGTTAAATAGGAAGGGACGTTACTAAGTTGTCTGAGGTCAGCTGCACACCTGGCAAGGGCTGGGATGCGAGTCCAGGGAGTGTGACTTGAGTCCCGGCTCTTAGCTACTGCCATGTCGCTGGGCTGTAATCTGTAAGATACTAACATTTCTTGTGACTAATCCAAAAGGAATGAAGAAAGGAAATTCTTCACTCTTTTCTAAATATACTTTTTGGGGGCACTCTGCATGCTGGCCAGAGGAGATTTGAATAAAGCCAAGTGAAAGGCAGTTAGGTCCTGGGGTGAAGAAAAAAAGAACAGGGCTGTACAGCGGATCGAGGGGTCTGTTCTGTCCGGGGTCAGGGAAGGCTTTCCGGGGTAGGAGATACTTCATTGTGACACAGCCAGGCGCCCCGGGAGGTCCGCAAGGAGGGGAATAACATGGTTCTTCGGGCTGAATCTGGGATAGGGATCATAGAGGTGAGGTGGACCTTCAGTGGCATCTATTGGCTTACGCTCTGCCCTCAGCTCTGCCCTGGCTGCACTGGGCTCCCAGGGCAACTGCCAAGACAACAATGCTCCCCTTACCCAAAATGCCCACGTAGCTTTAACACATAAGGTTATGTTACTCTCAGGAAGTAAGATGGGAATGTGGCTTTACACTAGGCCACCTGGGTCACTTCGTGCATCTCTGTAAGCCCCTGGACCTTAAAATGGCTTTTCTCTTCATCATTCCTCTGCTCTGCTTCATTAGCTATTATATGGTTCTTAGGCACCATTTAAAGCTTTTTTTAAAGATTTACTAAGCAATTCTTAAGTTGAATGTTAAATTTTAAAAACTCAGTGTTTTGTGTGGCCATCTCCTAATATTTACCTTTTCCTGTTGGCGGCTCCTCAGGAACATGAAAGCTTGCTTACCTCATGTTTAAATTTGTTTCTGCAGGCACAGTGGCTCATGCCTGTCATCTTAACACTTGGGGAGGCCAGAGTGGGAGGACTACTTGAGCCAGGAGTCCAAGACCAGCTTGGGCAACATAGAGAGACCCTGTCTCAACAACAACAACAACGGCAACAATTAGCCAGGTGTTGTGGTGCACATCTGAAGTCTCAGCTATTCAGGACGCTGAGTGGAAAGGATGGCTTCAGCCTGGGAGGTCAAAGCTGCAGTGAGTCGTCATCAGGCCACTGCACTCCAGCATCAGCCACAAAGCACGACCCTTTCCCAATCAATCAATCTGCACCAATAAAACCTTGCCAACACAAGTCATTCCTCTACCCTTAGCACAGTCCCTCCTGTCACAAACAAGGGACCTGATTTCTCAAAATATAATGTATGTCAAATATCTAAGTCAACTAACAAATGTGAAAAGAATTTTCTCTTAAGCTGGCTGCTATGGCTTGAAAAGTTAAAGGAAGGCTTCCGTTCCCAGATTCTACACAAGCGAATTAAACAGTGCCAATAAAAATAAACCCAACTTAAAAGTTATCTTCTGTCCTAAGATCTCGCTAAAATTCACAGCTTACATGAAGCGTAATGACATTCATGTAACTACCAATCCACGAAAAACATAAAAACTACCTGCAACATAAAATGCTTAATCTTCTAAAATAACTTCACCTATTTCCAAGGGTCTAATAACGCACAGACCCTGAAGCTATGACAAATACTGATATAATCACACTGATACAGGCCTAGTGTACTGTAATGAAAACCCGAGCAGCAGCCGTGTATTTTAAATAGATGTGTGATGCTGCTGTTTGCACAATGAATCTGCGTCTCTGCTCTCGTTCTCAGTGAATCCTAATTATGCAGACTATCAAAATCATTTAGGCTTACACTAGATAGCATCTTCAACTTCCTACTTGGTAAAGACTTGTTAAACATATAGAAAAAATTATTAATTAACTCTGATAAAGAATACTTACATTTCTGGTAGAGCCCAGTGATTCCTTCAACTTATAATTTCTCTCGTGATTTTGATATGATCTCACTATGATTCATAAGCATAAGTCAAATTATTCACTCGGCAGCCTTTTCCTAGCTCTAGTATTAGACCCTTGGAAATAGGTGAAGTTATTTTAGAAGATTAAGCATTTTATGTTGTGACAGGAGGGACTGTGCTAAGGGTAGAGGTAGAAGCAAAATTGTGAAAAAGTACCACACTCCTCACTAGATGTGACGGCAAGAGACAATTTTACAGACCTGGCCTGTGGCCCACAGCCTAGATCTGTCCAGGAGCAATATGAAGTGACTTACTCATGGCGACTCTGTCAGCACGACAAGGTGGATGCTTCTAGTGCTCCTGCTTCCCTCATTTGTAAACCAAATGGCTCAAATGGATGCATTCCAACCTCCTCTAAGATCCTAGGGATCCTTAGCTTACAGAAGACATAAAGGTATCACGGGATATAGCAGACAATTCATGTAATAACCTTTTTCTGAGAATAATCTATTTTTCTTTTATCTGACACCATGAGGTGGAATACTGAGGAGCAGTGCTCTAATTTGATGGGGCAGTCCCCAGGACAGGGAGTGGGGCTACAGCTTTCCTTCCCTTTCCAGAACCTCTGGGGAAAGGGGCCAGGGGCGACTCCATCCAGTTCTAGCCTTATCTCATGGAGGAAGTCTGTTTTCAGAGTTTTCACAGAGGAACTCAAGGAGATTAAATCATCAGCAAATAAGCCTCTAGAATGGCTCTGGGGAAAAAAGCCATCCTGTCCTTTTGATTAGAAAATGCATCCTTCTTCCCACCTCTGCCACCATAAAGATGGTCTCTAGACAAGGGCTCTCTTTATGAACAAAGCCTCCACACCGCAACAGGGTGGGTTTCCTTCCCAGGAGCCACTGCACAGCCCCAGGCTTTACCAGTCCCCAATCTTGGGTGCAGAAATCATGGAAAAGCCTTATAAAGACACCAGACACTGGGATAATCTCTGCCACAATTCCAATTATGTCCTTTTTTAGATAGGCCCTGTTTTTTAAGAAGTAAAATACTCATTAAATCCCCTAGCTGGGTGGACTGTTGACGACGTCTCCCTATCTAAGTGTAGCAGTTTGCCAAGCGCAGGGCTCCAGAGATAGGCAGGCGGGGCCGCCTCCTCCGGCCTCACCCACCTCTGCCCCCTCCGGCCCACCGGCACCTCCAGCTGCATAGTTGACTCAGTATCCAGACAGCTGCTTCCCCAAGAAAGTGGACCAGGGCTGGATGGCCATTCTTGTGACAAATTTAATAGAAGAATATGAGAATCAGTCTTCCCACACATAAAACACTGCAGGCACTCCAAATCCTTACAGACATATGTGCTTCAGGATCAACTCAGACATGCACAGCATCCCTGCGCTGGCAGTTTATTTTAAAAAACAACACACCCCCCCCCATCACAGTTTCTTTTTTGCCCATCATTTTCCTTAACAAAAGAAGCGACACAAAATCTGGGGGGAAGATACTGTCTTTGCAGACTGACACATTTGCAGAGGGGTCACGAATAATGATTCCAAAGCTCCTATGTAACTCCTCAATCAGGCCCAGGAATAAATGACAATATAAGAATGAATTTTGTTTACAGCAATATCATAATACAGCATTGAATCATTACAGTGCAGTGGTTGTAATTAAGTCCACGATAAAATATTCTTAGCCCAAACACCAGACGAACTAAAATCACCCAACTGTTCATGAACCAAAATGATCAATGCAAGCAGCCGTTGTCTCAATAGTGAAAACCAAAATCGGTAAGGCTTTCCTGGCAGTGAGTCTCTGACATGAACGGCTCCCTCTTTGCTCCGCGAGGACCCGGCCGCCCTCACTTAGAGTCTTGGTCTTTCTTTTCATCTAAAAGGGCAGAGTGGATCCCCAGCTTTTTCAGTTCTTCCACCAGGTCCCCATTCTGGTGCATCTGCAGAAGAATGTCACAGCCCCCTACAAACTCGCCGTTGAGGTACACTTGCGGGATTGTGGGCCAGTTGGAATAGTCTTTAATGCCTATGGAGAAAGAACATTATTTGTTATTTAAATGGCAAAAGCTGAACCTTTCATGGCTAAATATGTAACTTTTACCCACTACTAGCAGACAACCCACTGTCCCTCCCTGGCTTCCCTCAATCTTAAGAGCACTGTGCTTGCTACTAAGAGCATGAGTTGTTGTGTGAAAGAGACCAATGGTTAGGTCCTAACTCTTCCAATTACAAACCGGCGGCCCTTAGACAAGTCACCTGATCTCTCATCCTGTTTCCACCCTCATCTCACAAGGTTTTTGTGAGAATTTGGTAAGATTCTCAGTAAAATACCTGATACGTCATGGACCCCAGATTAATGGCAGAGGACTGAACTGGGTAATGCAAGTTGCATAAGATATATAAGGCCATAATTCTCCATCTACCAGTCAAGCTTCAAGTGAAGCAAAACTTGAAGAAACGTCACAACCAACTTCGTTTCCAAATGAATCCATCATGGTAACTCATGGCCAACTTGGGCAATCCCACCCGTGCACTTTTTATGACTCTGTCTAGGTTGGTACAGGCCATCAGTTACTTCTGCTTGAGATGATGGGTTGTTGATTTTTTTTTAAAAATCATTAACAATTACTTTTACCCAAGGAAAAATTCCTGTACCATGGCTATGGACTATCAGTTTCCATTCATCCAGCAACTGTGATGGGCTCTCTGTGGAGGAGATGATCTGGCTCTGTGCAGAACCGGAAGGGACTGGTAAATCTAATGAAGGAAAGGCCCAGAGCTCAGCAAGTTCACTGTAAAGGGCTGGGGGGTGGGGGAGTGAGACCAGCTCTGCTCTTAAGAGCTCACAGCAGCCAAGAAACCAGTCAGCCCGCATGTGATCAGTCCTGTGTGCAAATGGCTCTGAGGACACAGAGGGGATGAGGGACGCTCTGTGACAGCGCAGCTGTGGGACTACTCTGTTCAATTCTGAGCCACAAGGATGACGACTGTAACAAAATGGTAAGAAAGAAATGTGGCTTTAATCTTAAGACATAAAGATTACTCTTTTTTAACATTTCTCTTCATCATTCTACTTCCTTTTCCACTTGTATGTTAAGATGACTGTGCTTTCAAAAACATATCCGGCCATTAAAAAGCCTGTATTGGTCATGTTAAAAATGAAGACGGTCAAAGCACGGCATGTATTAACTAACCCTTAGAGTTACATATATGTGACACTTTCATATTTACATAGATATTTTTAAATGGCTAAAATTAGCATAAGGATAAACAAAGCCAACAGATTGTTCAAGTACAGTTTACACAAATCGATTTTGATGTAAACAAATTAAAAATACAAAAACTTGCTCTTGATACCCTATAATTATCAAACATTTATTTTCCAAATAAAATCACTGATTTCAGTTATATCACAAGTAAGTCCCAATATACAATTTATTTTTTTCTTAAAAGTTATTGCCTTCTAAAAAAAACTGACTTTGCTCTAAATGACAGCCCTAGAGAAAGCCCCTGAGCCAAGGGCTTTATCTTTCTCCTCCAGACTTCACATATTAAGAAATGGTTACATTGCTCTGGACCTCCAAAATGACACCTCTCAGCCACTCTGGGTGTCGGTAAGGAAACATCAGCTAGCTAGTTGGCAGTTGCCAATAAAGGGTAAATTCCATTAATCATCAAAATGTCTTTATAATGCCAAATATCTAGACATACTAGAACACCCTGATGAGTTCAAGTTGTTCATCGTGCTGATGTTTGGTGCTACGTCAACAAAAACAACTAGCATTAATTTGCATGTTTTTTATTTTCTTCAAGCTCTGTCCTCAAATACAAAGTCTATCAAAACTTAGCTGAGTGTTTACAGCAAACATGAGCTTCTTTTAATTCTCTTGAACTTTCTTAAATACATTTTATACAAATGAATCATTTACCTACATGATAGATCTGTTTTGTTTCAATGAATAATATAATGTGTGAAGCTTTCCATGATAATCAGTTTTTCCTGATTTATTTTGGTGGGTGTCTATAATTTTTGAAACATACCAAAAATGGAAATAAATTTGCTGCCCGAGAATCACCCAAAACCACGTTTTACCCTAAAAATACATGTTCTTAAAGTAAAATTGCTTTTCATCAATCAATTTTATAGTATCTTACTCAATTGAAGAATTGGGCTTGTCTGGTTCATTAAACATAAAGTTTGTTTATGTTTAATAAACGAAACATATCGCATGTCCTGACTATAAGATAAGAGAAGGGGAGACTCCCAGAATCTTTACCACCGAAACTACTAAAACGAGCGGGCTCTCAGACATTCTGAACACCCAACACTCACAGCCACAGGCAAGTGATACTAACTTCTCACGAGCCACTCTGCCTGTTCTTGACAGCAGCTGACAGTTTACCAAAATTAAACTTAACTGCTTCTTTAATTTTTAGATGAATAGGTGAAAAAAGGCAGCCGGCATCAAGGCAAAACTTTGGCATCCTTCTTAATAACTATGCTATTTTCCATTTTTAAGAAAACTGATTACCGGTTTAAACATTTAAGGAAATACCCAATTGCTTCCTAGAACGTGAAGTGAGAAACTTCTAATAATAAAAGACTACTCTTCATAAGTTGAATATTAAAATAGATCCTGCGGACCCACAAGTAGCTGTTTAAACATGGTTCATCTCTCTCACACTTTTGTTTTCAAAAACTGCAATATGCAGTGGTGGTTCTTACAAACATCACTTGAAATAACTCAGAATCAGAGAGCAACTCTTGAAAACTAAAAAATCATATCCAAGAATGAATTTGAATGACAATTGCATTTCATATATGATAGACAGTGGTGATTCCATCTGGAATAGAAAATGCTGACTAATAGTATGGCAGAGTATCACTAGGAATTGGGAGTTAGGAGACTATCTTACAAAGTCAATTTACACATGTCTAGTGCTCCATCAAAACACTCCAAAAAAACAAATTCACATTCCAAAGCATCAAGCCAGAAAGAGTACAGAAATGTACTTTAAAATTCCCCTCCAGAACTTTCAAAAGGTATTTTTCAAACTTCATCACACTCAGAACACTCAACTTTACTCC